AGGCTAGTCTATTCGGTCTCACCAAACGCTCATTCGTTAATAGTTAACAAAAATAATTATACTTGAAAATCCCGATTTTATAATTGATAATTGATAATTGAAAATTATAATTATAAGTATAATTGAAATGAACAATAATATAGTTAACAAATGCATATTTCAGGAGTTTTGTGTGACTCGACTTTCACCTTTCGAGTGAACCATTCCTTATCTATTAACGAATACTTGTTTGGTCATATTCAGCTCTCCTGTTCGTTAATAGGTAACGAATCTCATTTGGAATAAATGATTCGTTCCATCAGTGGACGGAGATAAATGAAAAATTATATCAATTAATATTACATACAAATGAATGACCTCTATCATAGAATGTTAAGATATCTGCAACACATACTATCATCATCCGGGCAATCAATCCCGGAAATTGCTGCTTCAAGACCACAAAATGGCCCAGAGAAAGAGGAATTGTATTATCGTTCAGTTTTTTCTGCTCGAGTGGGTACAATACATAAAAAAAATTAATTGTCCTTCAAAATTTCACCATTTGATATTACATTTATTAATTTATCAAATAAGAGATGTTTTCGTAGATTTTTTTAATGCGTAGGAGATCACTTCATAACAGTTTACCTATCTTCCCCCCAATTTCAAGCTTTTTCCGAAAAACTGAAATCGAAAGAGAATTTAGAAATGTTATTCTAAATTGAATAAACCAGTATTCTGATTTCAATTGCTGTGAGACAAAAAATATCAGAGACACGGAACGAATGTAATCACTACATTGATAACATGGTAGAAAAAATTCAGTGGAGATTTCAAACTCTTAACGACGGTCATTCACGAGAACATTAGATAACGAAAGGGAAAATGATGCTATCGGGTTCAAAAATTGTGATAAAGATCTGGAGTTTTTTAGTTTCAACGGGACAAGATATCGAATTTTTCCAACTAGAATTTTAAATAGATTAGGGAGCTCGTTACTTTTCAATGAATCATTTCACTGATGAGCGGAGAATCGTTAGTTGAAATGTACTACGTTTTCCCGAAGTTGAAATGAAATGTAGTAGACTAACGACTTCAAGAAAGATAACAGAATTGTCACGAGGATATTTTTCGCAGTGTAAACCAACGGCTAAAGAAAAGCCCTCACGGAAATTATGATATTTCTTCCACTTCCCAGATGTTGCGAAGAAAAAGATTTGGAAAATATTTCGAGGAGTATTCTATCTGATGGACTAAATTGATAACATTGATGGCTTTATTTTAGACCGGAATAAAAGGAAACGAGTCAATGTCACCAGTCGTCAGACAAATTTTCTGTTCAGAGTTATTAATATTTTTCGAAACCAAAGTATATTGATCTTCATCATTATCTCCTGGAGATTAATGTGCTTTGATTTTGAAAAATGAGCGGCCGTCTGTTGCTCCTTAAAGTAGTATAAACGTAACTCGCATTTTGAAGATTAAAATCTGAAATAAATTTTAAACGAAAGTTTATATACATGGAAATATTCTGGTTGACTTTGTGTTCAATCGGCAGTCTAGTATTATTCATAATAATTAACTTAGGGCTGCAAAAATAGAACATTATGAGAGAATAAACTTTCCGCGGTTAGGAAAAAGATTAAAATCTAGAGAAAATGTAAAAAAATAAAAAGAATGCATAAAAATTTTATGTGCAACATTAAAATTGTCGTCAGTGTCAAACTTTTGCAATAAATAATTTAAGATTCTGCGTGTCCAAAATGGCGTGAGAGATTATTGTTTAAAAAAATAGTTGAAGAAAAAATTTGATGGATCAATTTCTTACGCTCATTAAGGATATCCGCGTATCTTTTACAGTTCGGTGCAGACCGCACTATAGATTCAACCATTTTCAGTCATCAAATTTGTCAATTAAATTACGAAAATTTTTTTTTTTTAATCATGAATATTCAGCGTCATTCAAATTATATTTTGCACAGAATTATTTTTTTAAGCATTCTGTGTTTACAAATAAACAATTGAAATTGTTTAAACTTATGGAAACTTTATTTTTTCAAGCATTTCGGGTTAAATTCAGAAATGATTTTTATGATGGATAATTGATTGTTTACATATTACTTATAGAAAATGCTCGTAATTTTAAAAAATTGCAATTTTTTAATCGCTTTATCAGTCTTTCTCCAAACGTAAACTTTTGATTTTTTTCAGATTTTTAAAATGTTTCCAAACGGTTCAATATCGAGCTTCAAATTCAAACCTGCAAAGTTTAAATAACAAAATCATTGCAAAATGTCCTGAAACTGGGGGTCAAATGGGGCTCAAAGGAAAGCTCTGATGTTCGACTGCAAAAGTAGAAAATCTTTCCACTGGAGAGAAAATAGCCAAAGTACTTGGAAAATTGCAATTCCCGGGAGAAATTATCAATGATGAATAATTTTTTTAGGTTCTTTGAATTTATTTTTCCTCGTCACACTCAACGACTCAACTGGAGTTTATTCATACTACTTTAACGTCATTCCAAGCGATACTATAACAGGAATTTGCGTACTACTGCGATACATGGATGAATAAGTTTAATACATTTGCCTCGGGGTTACTAAACCCAGTGTTTTCAATCGACTCAAATATCGAGTGGTAATCACAGCGAGCCACTACGTCGATATTTCCGATAAAGATCTGGAGTGTCGAGCGGAGATAGTGACTGTCCGCACCGAGACAAGGACAGGAGAAAAAAATTGCAGGCAGAAAATCTCATTCACTAATGGCATATCCTTCGAATTATTCATATTATTTCATGAAATGTTTCACCGCTCGCTTTTGTCCCCGATAAACTCCATGTAACACATACCTATACAGTGAACGGTGGTTCATCCAATTGGAATTAATTAATGTGCCGCTTCGTGCTATCAAGTCCGCTGACCTATTCCCCGAAGTGGGCGGGGGAGGGCGGGTTAGATAGAAAACGAGGCTCGCTAGATTGATGTGATGCAACGAGACTAGCCATGGGGGGAATTAAAAATTACTCGAACACATCTGTTGATAAATTGATAAAATTCCATTTTTTTATCTTCTTTCTCATTTGATTTATTTAGTTCGGGGGAGACAATTTTCCACGAATTTTCCGGAAATTTCAAACGAATTATTGAAAAAATGACCATTAATAAATTCATGACAACACAAAATCATTGGTAAATTTACTTGATAAGCGAATATACAAAACTATTGACCATAAATTTCACTTGAAAATGTAACTAGTTTAGTAAAAAAGTGAAAAGAAATTGGGAATTTTCTCGTTGAATGGAAAATAAGGCTCGCTAGATTGATGTGATGCAATGAGACTAGCCATGGGGGGAATTAAAAATTACTCGAACACATCTGTTGATAAATTGATGACATTCCAGTTTTTTCTGTCTTCTTTCCCATTTGATTTATTTAGTTCGGGGGAGATAATTTTCCACGAATTTTCCGGCAATTTCAAACGAATTATTTAAAATGATCATTAAAAAATTCATGATAACACAAAATCATTGGTAAATTTACTTGATAAGCGAATATACAAAACTATTGACCATAAATTTCACTTGAAAATGTAACTAGTTTAGTAAAAAAGTGAAAAGAAATTGGGAATTTTCTCGTTGAATGGAAAATAAGGCTCGCTACATTGATGTGATGCAACGAGAGTAGCCATGGGGGGAATTAAAAATTACTCGAACACATCTGTTCTGTAATTTTGTTCTGTAAAACTGTTGATAAATTGATGAAATTCCAGTTTTTCCTGTCTTCTTTCTCATTTGATTTATTTAGCTCGGGGGAGACAATTTTCCACGGATTTTCCTGAAAGTTCAAACGAATTATTTCAAACGATTATTGATAAATTCATTATAATACAAAAGCATTGGTAAATTTACTTAATAAACGAATATACAAAACTATTGGCCATAAATTTCACTTGAAAACGTCATTGGTTTAGCAAAAAAGTGAAAATAAAATGGGAATTTCGTTCGTTGAATATAAATCGACGCTCGCTAGGTTGATGTGAAGCATCGAGACGTGAAACGTGTGATACGTCCATGGAAGGAATTAAAAATTACTCCAACACGTTTGTTGATAAATTGATAAAATTCCACTTTTTTATCTTCTTTCTCATTTGATTTATTTAGTTTAAGACAGACAATTTTCCACAAATTTTCCGGAAATTTCAAATGAATTATCTCAACCAATTCCATAATCATTGATAACTTTATCTAGCGAACCAAAATACAAAACTAATGACCAATTTCACGTGAAAATTCCATTAGTATACTAAAAAAGTGAAAAGAAAGCGGAAATTTCGTTCGTTGAATAGCAACCGAGGCTCGCTAGATTGTGTGATGCAACAAGACTAGCCACAAGGGGAAGAGGGAGGGATTAAAAATGACTCGAACACATCTGCTGATAAATTTCTAAAATTGGGATAAGAAAATTTTCCACGAATTCTCAGCAAATTGCAAACGAACTATTCCAATCGCTTCCCCAATTATTCATTCATGTCTTCAGCAAACCAAAATGAAAACCTATTGACCATAAACCTCACTTGAAAATGTCATTAGTTTACCAAAAAAGGTGAGAACGAAATGGAAATTTCATTCGTTGAATAGAAAATGTGGTTTGTCATCCGGGTCAAATGTCGTCTAATAAAATTCAATGCTGTCTCGTACTATTTCTGACGTTATTTAGGTTGATCACAAGTTGAGTTCGCTCGAGATATTGATTAGTGGATATCCCTCAGATTTAACGATTCTTTTTTCCTGAATAGATAAGATGTTTCGTAATCCGGTGAGTTTCTGGGTGTATCATCGCTTCTAGAGACATCTGGACGCCGACTATTCTATTGTAGGTCGAGCAGAAATTTTCCATACCCTTTTTTTCTAACAATTTCATGTTCTTGAGCTAAAAATATCTTCCGCGTAATGACCATTACCTTCTAATAAAGTTTATTCAGGAAACAGCGGACATATTAAATAAAAAGAAACGAATCTTCATCACGTAATTAAGATGCTATATTTATTATCTGGATTTACATAGCTATGCCGGGTTGTCTACACATAGTATAATCATTTTGTCTCACCTCTCAGACGCTCGGTTAAATTTTTATTTCACATGTTCTCAAAGGATGGCCCACTATCTACTCTAAAATCGAAAGTTGTCATCAAAAAGATTCAATGAACATAAGTAGAGCTAATGTTTTACTTATTTACAATACTCAATTTTTAATTTTAAATCTTTATCCCATTAACAGTTTTATGCTCGTTACGTTTATACAAATTTCTCTCGAAATTCCCAAAATAACAGATTAATCGAAAATTGAAAGATTGAGTGAGCAAATTAGGGTCTCTCATCGAATAGTGAAAGACAAACGACACTTTGACACGAGTGAAAATGTGGATATTCCAGTATTCAATAAATTAAATTTAAATCGTGTACCCAACAATTGTCGTATCTCCATGAATTACCTCAAACCTGTCATATTCTGTGGTCAACCCTTCAAATCCATCCATCACTTATTTACCTCTCATTATCACGTATTGTAAATTAATTCTAATGTCTACCCTAGTCTCGTCAATCTATTATACAAAAAGAAGATATCCCCCGATGTTTCCAGCGTATCGCCCTCCCTGGCACTGGCATTTCTCTAGAATTGATGGAGAAAAAATATATTCCAAGGCCTCGTGACTCGTAAATGCAGTCCCTAAATCATCTCTCTTGGCCAGAATTCCCCCTCACAGTAAGAAATAAATGAACGAAAATATATTCTCTCAGTACGTGAATGAACAAAAATGTTAATGAGATCTTGGAGAAGGAGAGAAGAGGTAACGTATTTATGATGCTGTCGTGACTTTTTGATTCTGCTGGTTCTCGCTCTTATCAATCGCTGCAATGTGATCTGGCTTTTCACCACGTGCAAAACGCTCCCACATTCTCTTATACAGCATTTCCATTCCCATTGCGTACATCTTGCAGTCGAACAGTGGACTCTCTGAACGTGCCTTCCACACTTTAGCACGGATGGCTTTTAAGCTGAAAGAATAAGAACAAAATTGGTTAAAATTCAATTGGTCAGGTGGGGATGTGCAAGTGGAACAGAATCTTTGGGCTCTATTTACTGGGATTCATCGAGTTCAAGTCAATGCAATATATTTAAAATTTAAGGTATTTCCCTCGAAAACAGGTTTTTCTTATGATTGTCCCCATGTTTTTGACAGATAATGTTTTCAATATTCCCGAGCTATTGAAAAAAATTCCGACTAGCTGTACTACATAGTTTATTCAACTCTAAAAAATGGAAATTTCGTGAAATCATTTCTTATTTAATTTAAATAGCCATGTCTTCATCAACAACATGAGGATAGAAACACTCAGTAACTTATGAGAATGCAATAAATTAAGTCATTCAGATTTTTTTCTAAAAATCCATAGGGAATAACTTTTGGATGGCATTGTCTTGGGATATACCTTAATGATTTAAAGCTTTAGATATTTTCAATTCTCATATTTTCCAACTTAATTGTCTGAGAAAAATTTGAAAAAAATTAATGTTTCTCTGAACTTTCTCTTCTCATAGATAAATAATTTAATTTACTTTGAAAACCATCCATGATTTTCCATTAAGAGTCAAACAATTTTTGGATTTTTACGTTGAACGAGAAAGAAGAGATATCAATTTCTGTCCACAACTTAAATTTTTCCAAATCTTCGTTTTCTTTTTATAAAATACTCAGTTAGGTTGAAACTCAATTTTTCAAGATTGACAAATTCACAGCAATGAAAAAGAACAATTCATTAAAATAAAAAATAACTTACTACTCTCGATCAGTTCCCAATCTAACAGCAATCTCCTGATACTCATGTCGTGTCCTGGCTACCAATTCAGGGCACCCCAGGGTATTGAGCTGACTGGCAGCGACCCTCGATGCCAAAGTTTCACCAGGTAGTGTAACCACAGGCGTTCCAGTCCAGAGAACATCCATGCTGGTGGTGTGGCCATTGCAAAGTGGTGTATCAAGGCAAACATCAGCCAACTGTCCCCTCCTAACGTGCTCCTCTTTAGCAGCAACATTGCTGAATAAAATTCTCCCAGGTGCAAGACCAAGTTGCTGTGCAGTGGCCTGTAAATTTGGCTCACCCACTGCTGGAAATCTCAAAAGCCAGAGAACTGAGTTTGGCACGTGCTTGAGAATATACGCCCACATGTGAAGGGTCAATGGGTCAATTTTGTACAGCTGATTGAAATTGCAGTAGACAACGGCATCCTCGGGCAGTCCATACTGTTGCCTTGTGGTAATAACTATGTTCTGAGGCACTTCCTCACCAGTTGCTGTTTTAGTGTTGACAGGAGTTGGGGCCATACCATTCTGAACTACCACACCATTAACGGACATTTGACATTGACCAGAAGCAATCATTGTTTCAATTGGAGTTGTTGTTGGTAATTCAGCGACCTTGAGGGATATTTCAACCGGTTTGTTCTTCGAATCTGCAACGATAATCTCACGTATCTCCTTTACCATTGTGTTTTCAATCATTGGAGACAGATCGGTGGCATTTATCACTGCTACATTGTCGGCAACTTTTCCCTTGAGTCCCAGCTTATCTGCCAGAATCAGACGCTCCTTCAGGTGGGGGAACATTTGTCTGGAAAGAACGAGTCGGTTAAAGTGCTGGACCATCTTTTATTGAAGATAAAACCTTAGAGGCAAAGTTTTCTTTTTAAATTAGTTGCATTTGTCTTGGAAACTAGTGATTTCAAGGGAAAATTTATCATTTTAAGACATCTCTGCTCAAGTGGTTTTGATTTGAAAATAATTCCTTCGGTATTACTTCTATTTATCATAACTTTGGAATGTTACAGCCATTTTATCACAAAAGCATATGGACAATTTACCATAGCATTACTTGTTGTCGTTTCATGTTTCCCCGCAATAGCTATCAATATATTGATATTTTCTTGATTCAAATTCGCGTTTGTACTTATTCAAATTTTGCAGAGATTACTATTTACTGGAATGTTTTTATATTCACTTTTGATCAATCTGATTAGGTAATGAATTTTTTATTTTTGTGACGATTATCACTGATCAGAAGATGTTTATATCTTCCTTTGTCACCAAATTGCTCATTAAATTTTTGTGCTAATAAGGGACGATGTAGAAGTAATGTAATGAAATAATTTGTGAATTGTTCCGTAAATAATTAGAATGATGAATTGTACGATAAGTAGAGATGAAATCTATTCCATCGAATAAGCAATCATTCTCTGGGGAAAAGTGGAAAATTGAAGCTCTGGTTAATTTTCTCCTGCAATCAATGTCAATTGCTGAATTATGCAAGTAATAAACTTACTTATGATCTCCAATGAAATACGTGTGTGGCATATATGCCAATTTCTCGCTGTATTGACTAGCCAATTCCAGAGGTGATGTTACTTCGTCAGTAATCAAATAATCCATGAAACTTGCACCAGATGTGCCTGGATAGCCGAGCCACATAACTTGAATGGGCGCTGGTCGTAATGCAAATATCTCGTTCCTCGCACCCTTGGTGTAACCATTCATATTAACCAGAATATGTATTCCATCGTTATTAATACGATCTGCTGCTTTTCCATTGCATGGGGTTTGAGAGAGATCGATGAAATGCTCGGATTCACGGGCTATTTTAGAGCGGAAATTAGTGCCATCGTCGGTGCTCAATGCGTAGCAGAATATTTCGACGTTGTTTTTGTCATGGAGACCGGGAATTGATTGCATCAAGTGACTCGTTGGGTGATTACCGAAGTCCGAGGAGACGTAACCAATTTTCAGACGTTGACCAGCCTCACGTGGGTACTTGAAGGGCTGCTTGTGTAGTACGTGAATCTGAAAATTTCATTTTACAATTTTTTAGTGAATTTTTTACTTCCTAAATTTTTAGTTTTTACAGTGAGAAAAAATATAATATAATTCGGCCAATCAAATGTGTTTTAGACAAAATCGATATTTTTTTCTTAGTGTATTTTATATTTTTATTTCTTCGGTTAAATTGACTCCCCCTCATTGAACTTTTTTATACTCTTGATGAAACTTTTTGTTGAGTCAAGTTTTTTATCCTTTATCTGATGAAATCGTTAACTTTTTTATTGAAATCGTCATTAAGTTCAGGTGTTTTTATTATCAACTTAATGAAACCTTCTCGTGTTCTTGGGTGATTGTCGAGGTTGGCTGAACATAGCAAGTTTTCCATGCCTAATCTATTTATAATAGTGAAGTAGAATAAGTTAACATTTGCGTTTTTTTTTGCAATGTGTGGATTTAGAAATGTTGAAAGATATTTTTTTAGAAAATTGAATTAATTAGAAGAAAATCCCGTAATTGATTTTCATCTTCTATTTTCTGTAGTAAAATCAACTCAACCTCGTCGAAATTTTTATACTCTTGATAAAATTTCTCATTGAGTTCAATTTTTATCGTCAGTTTACTGAAATCGTTAACTTTTTATTAGATTTCTCATCAAACTCAGTTGCTTTTATTATTAATTTCGTATAATGTCGTTTTTATACCGAAACTTTTTCGTGTTTTTAAGTAACAGTCAAGTGGTTGAATGCAACATTTCTCATACCTAATCTGTTTATAATAGTGAAATGGAATAAAATACCAGTGAGTTTTTTGCAGAGGGTGCATTTAGAAATGCCAAGAGATTTGTTTTTTCTATTTTCTATTTTAATTTCTCCAGTAAAATCGGTTTATCCTCGTAGAAATTTTTATACTCTTGATGAAACTTCTTATAGAGTTAATTTTTTATCCTCCGTTCAAGGAACTCGTTAACTTTTTATGAGTATTTTCATCAAGCGCAGTTTTCTTTATTATCAATTTAGTATAATCTCATTTCTATACCGGAATTTTCTTGTGTTCCTGACCAGTAGTCGAGTGGTCCAACGTAATAAGTTCATTTCCCAGATCTAATCTATTTAGTAGTAGATTGCAACTATATAACATTAGTGTTTTTTTTTTCATTTTCGTAGATAGCAAGAGATAATTTTTCAGGAAAGTCGTTCTACTTTAACCTTTTACTCGCGATTTTCGTTTTTTTCCTTTGATGCTCTTGATAAAACTCCTTAATGAATTAATTTTTCATCTTTCGTTCAAGAAAATCCTCAACTGTTCGGAATTCTCATCAAGTTTAGGTTCTGCATTATTAATTTAATATAATCTCATTTCCGTACTAGAACTTTCTAGTTCTCTCAACTAGTACTCAGGTGGTTATACGTAACAAGTTCATCCCCCACGTCTAATCCACTTCATAATCCAGTGGAATTCAACGGAATGACTCGATATTTGTCTGAGTATCTCTTAAAATCAAATTTATTAATTCTTCAGGGTATTCGTTACTTCTCAACCTTCCATTTCCTGTTTCAATTCCTTCGGTAAAATCGGATATTTCTCGCAGAACTTTTCTACACCCTCGATAAACCTCGTATTGAATTGATTTCCTTAATGAAATTGCTAACTTTTTACCAGAATTCTCATTGGGTTCAGTTTCCAGATTTCATCTCTGTAACGAAACTTTCCCATATTTTAAACGTAACAATTTCATTTCCCACGTCTAACCCGTTTGGTAGTCATGAAGTTCCAATCCACTATTAAATAGATTAGATTAGGGATGAACTTATTACGTTGAACCACTCGACTACAGGTCAAGAACACAAGAAAATTCCGGTACAGAAATGAGATTATACTAAATTGATAATTTAAAAAAACAGAGTTTGATAAGAATCCTAAAAAAAGATAACGAGTTCATCAAATGGAAGACAAAAAATCAACTTCATAAGAAGTTTTATCAAGATTATAAAAATTTCTACGAAGAAGAGTGAATTTTATTGAAGAGATTAAAATCGAAAATAGAAGATTAAAAAGTACGGAATTCTTATTGAGTTGATTTCGTCAATGAAATTGTTACCATTTCATCGAAATTCTCATCAAGTTCACCTCTTCGTTATCAATTTAACATAATTTCATTTCTGTAACAAAACTGTCGTCTTTTTAGCTTCATCCCCTACATCTAATCCATTTACTAATCAAGTGGTAGAATAAAATAAGTTCACGTCAGTCGGAGTTTTCAATTTAAAGAATCTCGGAATCTGAGATGACCGAATTTTTACAAGAAACTTTTTAATATCGAGTAGATTTAGAAGATGTCCCGAGACATCTTCACAGAAAATCCAATCACCTACACAAACATTGCCTCGACATTTTGCCTCCAGAGGGCTCATTACTCCCTAATTTAATATTTATGAACGTGTTTGTTGACTCATTAAGTTTCATCACTTCAATACTGAATTAATCTCTCGCAAAATGTAATTTATTCACATCTCACCTTCTCAATGCATAAATTAGCATGTCTCGCAGCAATGGCCTTTCTAAAGTCATGTGAAAGTGGATAAAGCATGGAATGATGTGGATGAACACTTGGCAAACGATTCTTATCCAACTGTTCAGCAACGATTGACACAAGTTTCTTCATTCTAGCTTCGTAATCAGTCCAGTCACAAGCAATTTGCAGGCAGTGTGCAAGATTGCAGTAGGCATCTGGAAAATCTGGCTTGAGTTTCAATGCTGTTCTGTAAGACTGAATGGCTTCAGGAATGTTTCCCGAGTCTTTGTGAATTGACGCAAGATTCGAGTGTGCATCAGCAAAGGCTGGATTAATCTGAATAGCTCTTGTGTAACACTGGAGAGCACCCTGAATATCCTGCATCTCCTTGAGCGTATTCCCCATGTTTGAATAGGCATCAGCAAAAGTTGGTTGTATACGTATTGCCTCTTTGTAATGCATTAGTGCTTCATTCAATTTTCCCTGCTGTTGTAATACAGAAGCTAGATTGCTGTGGGCTGCGGCAAACTCGGGAAATACTTCGAGGGCTTTCAGATAAAGACGAGTTGCTTCTTCAATGTATCCTTGCTCTCTCTTTATGTTGGCCTGCAAAAAGATTTCATCGAATTTAATATATTTAAATTTAATATATTTATAATTCTTTGGGGTAAGAAAAACTACAGTTATTCCGACAAAGTTTGATTGAATATTCTAAAGATTCGTTCCTGTATTCTTTCTTGGGCAAAGATCCATTAGAAGGCAATTTTTCAAACAGTAGATTCTTCAGGGATATTCTTCTTCGGATTCTTTCTATCTCGGTGTAGAAAATACTGGAGTGATTCACCATTGTTTTAAGTCTCAACTAAAATACTATATGCTGGCTTGGAAATTTAATATATTTTATAATTTTATTTCTTGTCCGGGTTAAAAAAAACCTGGGATTCCAACAAAGTTTGATTGAATATTCTAAAGATTCGTTCCTGCATTCTTTCTTGGGAAAACCTCCATTAGAAGGCCATTTTTCAACCTTCAGGGATATTCTTTTTTGAATTCTTTCGATCTCGGTGTAAAAAATACTGGAGTGATTCCAATAGAATTTAATAGAATTTTCTAAAGGTTTAGTCTTCACTATTGTTTGAAGAAGTCTTAATTAAAATACTGTATTCTTCCATCAGAGAAGAAATTTTCAATCAACAGATTCTTCGGGGGAGAGTCCTGATTGGTAATTAATTTCGTGTCAAAAAACCTATATTTTCAGTGATGAAATACTTCTATCGATTTTATCAACTCGATGTATGCTTGCTTACAAATTTAATATATTTTATAATTTTCTTTCTTCTTCGGGGTAAAAAAAATAACACGGATTCCAACGAAGTTTAATTGAATATTCTAAAGATTCGTTCCTGTATTCTTCCGTAAGAAAACCTCTATTAGAGTGAAATTTTTCAACGTCTAGATTCATTAGGGATATTCTTTTTTACATTCTTTCTTTCGGGAGGTAGAAAATACTGGAGTGATTCAATAGAATTTAATAGAATTTTCTAAAGGTTTATTTCTGAACTATTGTTTGAAGAAGTCTTAATTAAAATACTGTATTCTCACATCAGAGAAGAAATTTTTAATCATCAGATTCTTCTGAGTCGAGTCCTCATTGGCAATTGTAATTCAGTTGAAGTCAAAAGATATTTAGTCGTTTTTGTCATTAAGAAAACTTTCATTTGGTTCGAATAAACATTCGCATTAAATTTATTGATCCAATGTATGAATTTGTACCTCTCCATATTCTTCTTTATACGCTTTCTTTCTCGGGGTAGAAAATACTGATGTGATTGCAATGGAATTTAATAGCATGTTCTAAAGTTTTATTTCTCCACTATTTTCTGAAGAAGTCTCAACTTCGTGTCATTAAAGAAAATCTTCTTTTATTGATAGAATATTTGCATCAATTTTATTAATTCAATGTCTGGCATACATTGAATTAATTCCCCTCTTTATACTGACTTTCAAAGAGATTTAATCAAATTTAATATATTTTTTAGTATTCTTTTTTCTACGTAAAAGAGACTCGAGTGGTTTCATCAGAATCTAATTTAATATTTGAAAACCCATTCTTCCCTGCTTCCTTGAGAAAACTTCCATTAAAATACTGTACTCTAACATTAGAGGCAAATTTCCAGCCATCAGATTCTCAAAGGTGGCGCCCTCATTAGCAATGCTAATTCAGTGGAAGTAAAAAAATATTTTTGGACTTTTTTGCTATTAAGAAAATTTTAATTTGATTGAATTTTATTGATTCAATAGTGTCTTTTCCTCGTCATGTTGGCCTTCAAGGATATATCCTAGAATTATACATATATATTATATATTTCTTCGTTCTAGACGTAAACAAGCCTGGAGTGATTCCAAAAGAATTTCATAGAATATTCTGGACGTTTATTTCTCCACCAGGGATAGGCAATAATATTAGATTTTGACACTATTAAAAAGGATCCTTATGTTGTTCAAAGTTTAAGTATATTTAACAAATTTAAAATATTATAGAATTTATTAGCAAAATTTTTCGACTGATGGTCACGAGGGTCAAAGTGTCAGATCTTGTATTTTTCCAGATGGAAAGTCGACTTTTGCCAAAAGCGAATTTTTTAGCCGGGTGAACGTTGATTCCAACTATTTAAGCGATGGGCTATTCAGAACTCTCAAAAGTATGTGGAAAAAGTGAAAACTGAAAAAGTTTTTTTTTTCAGATTTTCAAAGGGTCAGATTTTCCGTTTTTTCAGGGGAAAGTCGACTTTCGCCAAAATCGAATTTTTTAGCCGGATGAATGTTGATTCCAACTATTTAAGCAACGAGCTATTCAGAACTCTCAAAAGTATGTGGAAAAAGTGAAAACTGAAAAAAAAAATTTTTCACCGGGGGCCAAAGTGTCAGATCTTGGATTTTTCCAGGTGGAAAGTCGATTTTTGCCAAAATCGAATTTTTTAGCCGGGTGAACGTTGATTCCAACTATTTGAGCGACGGGCTATTCAGAACCCTCAAAAGTATGTGGAAAAAGTGAAAACTGGAAAAGTTTTGTTTTCAGATTTTCAAAGGGTCAGATTTTCCGTTTTTCCAGGGGGAAAGTCGACTTTCGCCAAAATCGATTTTTTTAGCCGGATGAACGTTGATTCCAACTATTTAAGCGACGGGCTATTCAGAACTCTCAAAAGTATCCTATCGTAAAAAGGAGAAAAGAAATAGATTCCGAAATATCTCGAAAATCTCGAGTAAGCGTAAGTGTAACACTGAAACCGAAGCGCCACTACGTGAGGAGATGAGAAGGCGCGTGCGCAGCACGCGCGGCCGATTTAATCAAATTTAATAAGTTTTTTATTTAGTTCTCCTGCTTCTCCTATGTAAAAGAGACTGAAGTGGTTTCAGCAGAATTTAATTTAATAGTTTAATACTTTTAATAGTTGAAAAAAACCATTCTTCCTTAAGAAAACTTCCATTAAAATACTGTATTTGTTCTTTAGAAGAAAATTTTTCAACCATCAGACTCTTCAGGGGGGATTTCTTATCAGCAATTCAAATTCAGTCGAAGTGAACAAATATTTGCGGACTTTTTCATCACTAAAAAAACTTCATTTCGATTGAAATATTCCCATTAATTTTATTAATTCATTGTATGCTTGTTCCCTCTTTGTGCTGGCTCTCAAACAGATTTAATCGAATTCAATCTCTTTTCTGATATCATTCTTCTGCTCTAAAGAAGACTAGTAATTCATAAGAATTCGATTGAATATTCTCAAGATCCACTCTTCACTTTCCCTCAAGAAACCTTCCATTAAAATACTGTACTCTCACACAGGAATAAATCCCAGTCCCCTAGATATTCCAGGAGGGAGGTCTCATTAGCAATTCAAATTCAGTTGAATTAAGAAAATATGTACCAGATTTTATTCTCTAACAAAACTTTAGTTCGGTGAGAATGTTTCCATGAGTTTTAATTTCCAACATGAAGGATTTTCGTTAATTAATTACAATAACTCCATGAATATTTTTTTACGATCGCCTGTGCCCTCTCTACTCAACGTCCAAACTAATTGCTGAAATTGTTGATAACCCCCAGTCCTCTCCAATTATTGGAAGTCAGTAAACAAATATATGTGAATTTTTCAATTATTAAGGGAAGTTTATTTCGATTGAAATATTTTAAAGATTCTCTTTTCCAATATACCTCAATAAAATTCACACAAAAATACTGTATTCTTACACCAGAATCAATCCAATCCCCTAGACTTTAAAGGGTGGAGACCTCATTAGCAATTCAAATTGAGCTAAATTAAAAAAATATCGCCAGATTTTATTGTCCTCAACAAAACTTCAGTTTAATTGAAATATTTCCATGAGTTTTAATTTCAATCATGGCGGCTTTTCGTTAATTAAAATAATTGCATGGATATTTTTTCATCACCTGTCGCTTGTCTATCCAACGTCCAAGCTAATTACTGAAAAACTCCAGCCCTCACTCATTATTTACCGCGGCGAGAATTTAATTAGCGCAACTGTGGTTAACAATTGATGGAAATTCAGTGAACAAATATTTGCGAATGTTTTCATCAGAAAAAAAAACGTTATTTAGATTGAAATATTCTTATCAACTTTATTAATTCAATATATGCTTATTCGCTTTTTATGCTGTTTTCAATCAATTTTCTGATATTATTCTTCTGCGTAAAAAAGACTCGCGTGAATATATGAGAATTTACTACTCAAAAATTTAAAATTTTCCAATGAAGGTGTTATTATCAATTCAAATTCAGTTGAATTACGGAAACATTTCGATTTTATTTTCCCAAAAAAACTTTCAGTTTAATTTGAATATTTCCATCAGTTTTAATTTTAATCATGGAGGTTTTTCGTTAATTAAATAAACTCCATCAATATTTTTTTCATCATTCCCTGTCGCCTGTCTATCCATCGTCCAGGCTAATTACTGAAATTGTTGAAAAGCCCCACCCTTCCCCCGTTATTTACCTCTGCGAACGTTTAATTATCACAACTATAGTTCACAAATAATAGAGATTCAGTAAACAAATATTTACGAATTTTTTCATGCAAAAAAAAGTCATTTTGATTGAAACATTCCCATCCCAGATTAAACTTCAATAGAATTACGAAAATATTTCGATTTTATTCTCCCAAAAAAACTCTCAGCGTAATTTAAATATTTCCATGAGTTTTAGTTTCAATGATGGGGGTTTTTCATCAATTAAATAAACTCCATCGATATTTTTTTCATTATGCCCTGTCGCCTGTCTATCCATCGTCCAGGCTAATTACTGAAATTGCTGAAAAGCCCCACCCCTCCCCCATTATTTACCCCTGCGAAAGTTTAATTAGCACAACTATAATTACCAAATTATTGAGAGAGTCAGCGTGAGTGGGGCATAGTCGTAGAGCAGTATTGTAGCACTCCTCCGCCTCGACCACTTGTCCCTTCTCCTTGAGTGCATTGGCCAGATTGCAGTAAGCATCTGGAAAATTGGGCTGGAGCTCGATGGCTCGTCTGTAGGTATCAATGGCCAAATCAATGAGTCCCTGTTCATAGTAAACACACGCCAGATTCCCGTGGACGACAGCATTGTTGGGGCTCAAGTTCAAGGCTCTCAAATATGCAGCGACCGCTCTGGGGAAAAAAGGAGTAAACGAAAGTTCATAAATAACGTTCAATTAGAGAATCAGCGGTGGATTAATTTCCTCATCAAGGGTAGAGGTTCCACGAGCAAATAATGGAAAAGGGGCAATTAGACTTGCGTGCCGCGAGCACGACCCATTGATCAGCCTTATCAGCACTGAGAAAGGCCAGCACGCCAGGTGAACCCATTATTTATTAAAACCCATCAAGTGCGTTGTTCGATAACCGATGAAAACGCTCAATTCACCAAGCTCAAAACTTCCATCGGCACATCCTCACTGCGTTTAAAATAAACTTCAACGACTTTTTTAATTTTTTTAATCTATCGGCAGAGCGTCAATGCTGTTTGCCCTTTCATCAAGCATCTATTTTTATTTAATAGGCTACAGTGTTTCAAGGGCGAATGCTGAAAGTCTAGGTTCAAACTAGGGAACTGAGAAGCTTTTTTATTAAGGATATCCAAGCACCTTTTGCAGGTTCGTTTGGAAAATTTCAATGGTAAAATTTGTCTATCGAATTGATATTTATCAAATTTTTTGTATTTTTTTGCGTTAAGGATATTCAATGCGTGAGAAAAATTTGAAAAAAATCATAAATATTCAGCGTCAATCAAATTACATTTTCCACTGAATTATTATTTTTTAAACATTCGTTATTTGTAAGTAAATAATTGAAATTGTTAATTGTTGTTAAACTTCCGGAAACCTAGATTTCTTAGGCGTGAAATCGATTTCTAGTAAAATTCTGAATATGAATAAATTTGTTACCATTCCGAACGAATGATTTTTATGCTGAAAATGCTCGTAATTTTAAAAAATTGCAATTTTTAAATAATTTTATCAATCTTTCTCCAAAAGTAAACTTTTCAATTTTTTTCAGATTTGGAAAATGTTTTCTAACGGTTCAATATCGAGATTCAAATTCAGACCTTCAAAGTTTAAATAATAAAATCATTATAAAATGATCGGAAACTGAGGGTCAAATAAGGCTCAAATGAAAGCATTTTACTAGAAAAAAAATACCTAAAGTGCTTAAATATCCTTAAATCATTCTCTAGTAAAATTTTGAGTACAGTAAAAGTTAATTCTCCACGAATGATTCATGGAAAAAATGGTAATGTACAAATATTTAAAATTTGCTACTATTTTATTAATTTTCCCCAAGTATACGTTTCATGTTATTTACAAATTTCCGAAATGTTCCGAAATATAATAAACTGCCGTTTAAATTAAAAAAACAAAGCCGTTTTCGCCCCACCAATTCCCTAGCAACAAATTAAAAAACTTGTCATTGGCATTAACTGCTAACTCCACTACATTTTCTCAACTAGGAAAATTTTTTTGTTCTCAATCATGAGAAATATTCTCTGTTCAAAGCAGTTCTGCTCTCTACGACGAGGACTCATCTTTTTTTCTATGGGGAAAAGACAAACACCTTTTGATCCAAGACTTGATCCACGCAACGCATCCAGTGGGAACCGGACTCGTGACAGTATTTTCAATTTGAAGACGAATGGATGGTGCAACTGAGCTCGATGGTGATATCACCGTATAGACAATGACACACTGGTACTCCATACCTCGGCCATACCTACCCTAACATTTCAGTCTGATACCTTCACTAACTCGTGTGCAATAAATCATCATTTGTGGTTCACGTGTGACTATTATATTCACTGTTATCAATTGATACAAAAGAAAGATCCTGAGTAGAAAAATAAAAACTGCATTGGCCGAATAATCTACGGTTTTTTAGGACCCTGTTTGTCAATTGTGCATCATCATAATGTCCAGATGATTTCAATATCAGTCTCTTGGTTGCTATCACCCGCACCAATTATTGTGGCTATTATTCTTCTCACTGAATTGTTTTATCGCCTTGTTAATGGTGCATTAGTCAGGCTTATTGGCAGGGCTTTGTCTTGAAACTAGACTGATGATCGTGACTACGTGTTGATCGATATTTTCACTTGGTAAACACGTCAGTCTCTGCAGTTGCCGTTTAAGCGCACTTTGTTGGAAGTGTAACTATTCCCCTGGATTTAATCGTCTTTTTACGTTATTCAGTCTGTTAAATCGTAGTCAATGTTATTATTATCAACATTTAATTTTGACTCTTGCTGCCTAGAGGCTATGCACGATTATTGAGACAGAACACGAGCACTCAAACCTCTGGTGGCGTCAATCTTGCTGTTGTTGCTTTCCGTTCTTCGTATTTAATTAGCTTCTTACTCCAATCTCGGAAATGACTTTAGATTCGTTTTAATTATCAATTAAGTAGTTACAATCTTCAGAGAGACGGAGACGATAGGGACGAACTTGCTGAAACGTGATATCTGTTTTCCCCACCTCTTTGTTTTCAACAAAATAATGGAATGATTATGATAACGGAGGGAGAAAGTGGATAAATAAATTTTATAATGAATCAGGAGGTAAAAGTTTACGGAGTGTGACGTGTTTTCAACTGCAGATACGAGCGTTTATCGAGTGGAATTAATCCTCGCTTTTAGTTTAACCAAATAGCAGAAATCGAGCAAGGACACCGGGATTTTTGGGCGCTTTCGAGAGCCAGAAAATGAATGAATGGAAATCCTGATTTAACGGATAAAGGAGGCTCCAGTGAATTCTCACTTAATTTCGGTGATGAATGGACTGAGGCATTGAGGCGTAGATCACAGGGAGGAGTGATATAAAAATAAAACAGGATAACAAGCTGGGGAAGGGTTTGGAGAATTCAAGTGAAAATTGGTGAGCAACAATCTTCTTGTCTTGATTATAAAAATAACATGGGGATAACTCAAAAAAGGACTAACACTTGCTAAAATATTAATAAACTAGTTGATGAATCAAAAAGTGAAAATTTGGAGGCTTCGAAAAGAGAAATGAAATAAGAAATGCAAAGATTTTACGGAGGGAAAATCTGAATAACAAAAATAAGATCATGATTTGGCTAAAAGCCCTCGGGCCATGGCCATCTGCGGGTTCTCGCATGGACTTGCAACGAATTTCGTTGGAAATGAATAATAAAAATATGATCAATGATTGCAAGAAAGGACTTGCGTGCAAGGTTTTCTTGCTGCCCATGTAAATGGATTACTTTCACAGTATATAATTTCTACATTAAAGCATGAAAATTGTGACGTGTGAATAGGGAAGTGAAGCAGAAGTAGATAACAATGAACAGAATGGAAGAAATTCGAATGATTTTGTGGCACAAAAATCCTAATAACAAAAAAAAGACCAACATAACTTGAAAAAAGAAAAGATAAAAACAAGTTTTTACTTGAAATTTTCAAGTGATGGATGATTACATGAAAGAGAAGATCCGAAACAGGAGAGAAGAAAAGCAAACGATCTGATGTAACTCGAAGAATAAAATTGAAAAGTTAATTATGATGTGATAAATCATTGCACCAGAGAGAGGTACATGAAAAGAATTTGGTGTAACGAAAAAAATAAATATCAAATTAATTGTTAAAATTGAGATCAATTTGACTCGCTCTTATTATCCATCAAACAGACAGATCTACGGGAATTATTGGACGATGGGGAAGTGAAACATTAGTGAGTTACTTGAAAATAGAACAGAAGAACTGAACTATGAAAATGAGAAGTGATGATGATTACACCGAAGACTAAAACATGAAAGGAATTAAACTAAACAAAAAAAGTAAAATATTAAAAATTTTGAAAAGGTAGTTATAAACAGATTTCCACTTGCTACTAACGAACGGAAGTGAAAAAAATTTGGAGAATTCAATAACACAGAAATAACATTATTGGAAAATGGAAAAGGAAGTGTTGGAATATATATCAACTGCTTGAAGAATGAGACAGAAGGACTGGTCTATGAAGATAAGAAGTACTGATGATTACACCAGAGTAAAACATGAAAAAAATTGAATAAAACAGAAAGCAAAAAATATGAAAAATTTTGTTTTTACTTGCTGTTAACGAACGAAAGTGAAAAAATTTGAATAATTCAATAACACAAAAATAACATAATTGTAAAATGAAAAGTGAAGTGTTGGTATCGACTATTGGAACTCGGAATATTAGTCAACGAGTTGAAGAATAGGACAAAAGGATTGAACAATGAAAATAAGAAGTGATGCTGATTACACCAAAGAATGAAACGTGAAAAAAATGAATAAAACAGAAAACATAAAACATTAAAAATTTTGTTTTTACTTGCTGTTAACGAACGAAAGTGAAAAAATTTAAAGAATTCATTAACACAAAAATAACATAATTGTAAAATGAAAAGTGAAGTGTTGGTATCGACTATTGGAATTCGGAACATTAGTCAGCGACTTGAAAAATAGGACAAAAGGATTGAACAATGAAAATAAGAAGTGATGTTGATTACACCAAAGAATGAAACGTGAAAAAAATGAATAAAACAGAAAACAAAAAACATTAAAAATTTTGTTTTTACTTGCTGTTAACGAACGAAAGTGAAAAAATTTGAAGAATTCAATAACACAAAAATCACATAATTGTAAAATGAAAAGTGAAGTGTTGGTATCGACTATTGGAACTCGGAATATTAGTCAACGAGTTGAAGAATAGGACAAAAGGATTGAACAATGAAAATAAGAAGTGATGCTGATTACACCAAAGAATGAAACGTGAAAAAAATGAATAAAACAGAAAACATAAAACATTAAAAATTTTGTTTTTACTTGCTGTTAACGAACGAAAGTGAAAAAATTTAAAGAATTCATTAACACAAAAATAACATAATTGTAAAATGAAAAGTGAAGTGTTGGTATCGACTATTGGAATTCGGAACATTAGTCAGCGACTTGAAAAATAGGACAAAAGGATTGAACAATGAAAATAAGAAGTGATGTTGATTACACCAAAGAATGAAACGTGAAAAAAATGAATAAAACAGAAAACAAAAAACATTAAAAATTTTGTTTTTACTTGCTGTTAACGAACGAAAGTGAAAAAATTTGAAGAATTCAATAACACAAAAATCACATA